AAATCTAGTTTTCATTTTTTTAGTTAAAGAAACAAACAAATATATATAGATATATAACAACTATATAGTTAATCATATACATGTACATTTTTTTTGCACAATTTTCAACAAAATAAAACACACACACATTACATATATATAAATCTATATATACATACAATACAATACAATAATTATGCTAAACTTTGTCTATAAATTCTTGGCGCTTATGTTTCAATAAGTTTCAACAATGTTTAATTGTTAGTTAAGCTAAGTAAACCGAAAAAAAAAACAAACAAACTAAAAGCTGAGTATTTCACCTACATAGATATACAATATACAATATAAATATATATATATGTGCTAATTATACAGTAGAACCTACGTATAAACTACCTAATATAATGCGATGAGTTTACGTTGGCTGCAGAGAGTGAAATAAAAATCGTGTAAAACTGTTTGTATAAAAAAAGAAAAAAAAAAACGAAGCTATCTTTTTGTTTTATTTTAATTTAATATAGAATTTCGTACCCTTACTTTTCTTCTCTTTTCTCGTCGTGGCACACCCAAATGCAGGTATTAGGGTGGACTTGTAAAACCGAATGCATTTGCAATTAGAATTTATAGCTATAAAGTACGTATATGCATTTCTCTCCAAGAATATATATATATATATAGCACTACTATATACGATATACGATATATGATACAAAATAATATATACATATGTGTGTATGTATGGACAATATTTGCGAATAAACTGAAACTTCACAGCAACAACTCTCACTCCCCATAAACAAAAAAACAAAAAAAAAACAAAAAACAAAAAAAAGAATCAAATTACAGGTAACAAAAATTTTCAGTTTTTGGCAAGCGAAAAAAAGCTGAATTGAAAAAAATATTTTGAGGCAGTACGATAAGCTGCTTTTAAATTTTTTAAAAATACAAATGATTGGAAGAAATATAAACCACAAAATTAATAAAATAATAAAAAAAAATTTTGTGCCAGAAAAAAACTTTTGGCAAGACAAAAAAGAAGTTTTCTTAACAGAAAAAAAATGCGCTCAGGTTATAAAAAAGAAACAAAAACATAAAGACGTGTAAAAACAAGATTCTGAATTCCATATGAAATGAAATTAAAATAACAAATAATTAACATAAATATTGCATACAGAAATACATAAATGTTTAACAAAAGGCTGTTTGTAGAAATTGTGACACAGTTTTTTAACCCCAAAATGAAACAAGAAACAAAATAACAATTAAAATGCAAAAATGTTTGATGTAAATGTGAGTAGATAACACGCTTAAATAAAGGGAAAAGATAATGTAGAGATTGTAAACCCAATTTAAAGTTCTGATTGTGAATGTACTCGTAGTTGCTTAGCCCACTAGAGCCCAATAGAGCCTACTTGTAGCGGGTCCTACGTAGGATCGCTTCTATGTGCACTGCTAAATAGAAACTCAACCAGCGAGAAATCGTGTAAATACAAATACAATAATAATATATAAAGCGTATATAGCATATATCTATCTCAATATATATAAGTTGCA